ATGAACCTGACAAAACCGATAATGAATCTGACAAGACCGTTAATGCAAAATCCAATAAAGTGAAGAAAACCAATAAACATAAAAAAAGAAAAATCGAAACACCATCTGAAACACCATCGGAATTGGATTTGAGAGTAAGTATTGAAATTTACTTAATTTTTTAAGTAAGTATTGAAATTTACTTAATTTTTTAAATTTACGAATTTAATTATTTAATCTGATAACACTAATATTGCAATAGGAAAGGGTTCTTGATTTAAAGGAACGTGAAATTTCATTGAGAGAGCGGGAAGTTAAAATACGAGAATTAGAAATTAAACGTTCCAAGAAATAGTTTTTTTTTAGATTTGCAGTGTTTCTAGAAACATGTGTTTATTTTTTTTAAATCTTTGTTGCATTTTCTTGCATATGTTTTTTCCACACGTATTAAAGTTTGTACATTTGTGAAAGAAGCACATAATATAATAAAAAAGGTATTCGCATTATTTTTTTTTTGCCGCGACTAAGTTACGCACGTACTTGTATTGACATTTTAATCACTAATCTTTTCATCTTTCTCATCCAGCCCAATAATCACAATTCTATATTATTCTACAAAAAGAAATTAGCGTTACTTTTCATAAGAAATAAAGTTAATGATGGTATATACGCTACTGTTCAAAATGTAGTTTTTATTATGTGAATTTAATCCTGATTACAGAAAACAAGTTTTTTCAATTTAGTCTTATTTATTAGCGATAGCATAAATATGATTCTCTATAGCACTTGCTCATCATAATAGGTGGCCAGATTGAAAAGCTCTGTAAAGCGTTCAATTAAAAGATAGCAATTAGCAAAAGCCATACAGAAGCAAAGAGAAAAGAAAATTACAAATAAATAATTCTTTTTGCGATGTGAAATGATAATAAGGATAAATTAATAATCCAGACAATGAAAACTGTTAAATTATAAATAAATAATTCTATTGAAGAGAATAATATTGTATGTCATCATTCATCGAATTATCTGTAGAACTTTGCAAGAAACAGATTCTTATAATTAAATGTGAACAAAATATTTCGGATTTAAAATTTTAATATAAACAGAATTAATGATGCAAAAACAAGTTTTAATGTACTGTATCACTACTTTTAAGTGTTTCGTAATCGAGATTTTTTTTTAATTTCATAAATCTATTAAAGAGATTAAAGAGAGGGACACAATAAATATACTGACAAGGAGATTAACTCATTTAATAGTTGGCTAATTTTAAATTGTCAACAAAATTGTAATAATCACAATTCATATAAATTAGATGTAAGATCTCAAATAAACCAATATTTTATTTTATTACTAAAAATTTACATTTATTAGTATCAATAAGCTAACAAAAACATCATTAAAGTGAATACAGAAAATTTAATATAGAAAAGTTTTAACTATTTAAAAAGTTGAAATAATAACCAACAATAATAATTATTCAGCAATGATAGAGTGATTAATAAATTTCATGTAATTTAGTCATATATGACGATCAAATAAAATTTACTCATTGTTAGTGTCACTGCAGTTTGTTTAATTGTAATTTCTCGGCATAACTAACATGTATTAATTAGCACGGCTTGTGAACAGCGTAACCTCCCGGAGTATCTAGTTTAGTAATAGATTGTTTTATAGGTTAATACACGAAAATTCGTTTTGTTTAAAAGATAACGTATTAAGTTGTAATAATTAAAATCATTGATTCAATACAGTCTATACAATCATCACGACGTGCCATGCTACGGCGGTCATTATGACGACGGTTTCTACCACGTCGCGCGATATGAGAAAGAACTGAAGAGTTAATTAAAGTGAGCAGTAGTAGAAATAGAATAAAGAATTTGGTATTTAAATTAAGCATTTTGAATTTTTTAAAATTTTTTAAAATTTTTGGTTTTTTTAATTAAAAACAAAAAGTGTCCAATGTCTAACTATGAGAGGAAATGGGTGAATATTGTAGGTTTATGTATGCAAATCTATTGTATGTGAGCAAATGCGAAAATTGTTGATCAAATTTTCGCCTCAAGGCTAACGAGCGGATCCGTTGATCATAACAAATCTTTTTCCAAATTAAAATTTTACTGAACCGGTAAGTAAATCATTATTAATTTAAAAAACGTGTTTCAATTTGTCAAGATTTTCGTCGATCGATCAAGGCGTTGTAGCTTGTAGATCAGCTCAAAAATAATGGTTACAAATCGTGAGAAATTGTTATTACTCAATAATAGATTTTATTACCATAATTCAGTAATAAAGAAAAAAAAAATACGGGAATAAGCTCGCTATCTCAGCACAGGACTCAATCCTATATGATAAACTGTTGCAATAAATCTTTATTTAATAATTAGCGCCCGACCCGTGGCAGAGCCACGAGTATTTTGTAGAAATTTTAAATTTTAATTGGAATCTTAAATTTGCACATCTATCATGATGTAATTTCAGCTCTTTCTATAATATCAGATAAAAAATTGATAGCACGAATAAATAATATTAGTGAGATCCCGCTCAAGTATCACTCTACTGTGACTTGGTTAATCGGCAGAAAAAATCCGACTATTTATCAGGTGTCCAAAAATTTATGGTAATAGCTGTAAATCCTGGTTCATTTACTAGGAAAACTGCCGTTTGGCATTTTCTGACTAATTTTAAGATTTTTAATTCAAGTTAAAGTACTGGTTTCTTATTTAAGTGTTGTACCATTTTTATTATACATTAGCTTAATAAAATATATTTGAAAAATCAATTCTTAACGAAGAAAACATTAATTTAATAACGAGAAAAAAAATTTTTCATTTCATTTATTTATGTTAAGACTTATTATCAACCTATAAAATCATGCTCAAAAATTAAAACTTTGTTTTTAAAAACTAGACTTTAAAACCACGTTCTACTATTCTTAAAAACTTTACCATTCCTAGTTTCATTCTGTTATAAAATAATAAATAAAATAATGAGCTACCGATTCACCAAGCCTCTGAGCATGTTTTCACATCTTAATCGTAACACTTCGTCTTGGCATTATTTATTCGAGTTTATTTATTCAAAAACACTAAAGTAGTTATATTAACAACAGATTATTAACAAAAACTATGTTTTTCTATGAACTTGAAAGATTTCATTAACAAAAACTATGTTTTTCTATGAACTTGAAAGATTTCATACTCCTCCACCGAAAAGTGTGTAGATGCATCTCTAATTCTTTGACTATATGAAAAAACGGAGTGCCAACAGTCATGTGGGTTATTCACAAAAAGATCCCCAAAACATGGACCACAAGAAGAATAATTGTAAATTGCACATGATGGTGCCGTCACACGACTCAAAATAGAATTTTGTACAGCATCATTTTTCAATGAAAATATAGCAATATTTATATTGAGAGGTTGCTACTTTGTCCCAACCAATAGGATTATATCCACCGAGAATTTCTTTAGTTCCTTTGACTTTCATAACTACAACAAGATTCTTTCGTTTTTCACATAAATTCCAAAATGTATCATTGGTAAAACCATCTCTGCTTCCGCTT